TTCAGGCCTGGCTGGACGCGTCAGGACCAGCCCTGGCTTCGCCAGTGGCCACTGCCATATGAGACTGCAACTGGGAGTTCTGTATACAATAAACCTCTCAATCTGGTGACTCTTGCCTTTTACCTCCGACCTGGGATTCGCCCTTAATGATTGTAGTGATCTAGGCACACCATTACCTAGACCCCTACAGACTTAAGACAATGTGATAGGTATTTCATGACCGAAGTAGGCGTCTTGTCTACTGGTGACAGCAATAAGGACTAAGTTAAAACAAGCGTATATGGCAGGATTTATTGACATCAATCAATTTCGTAACAGCTTCTCAGCTGCATCTTGTCGCTGCATGATGACGATAACGAAGAGGACATACAACAGTTTGAAATTTCACAGAATGAAAGGACCGTGGGGTTAGTTTCAATATTAATCGATAAAGGACACTGCATTAAGTCAACGTATAGGAAGGAAGGGGGGGGTGGGTGAGGAAAGTTAACGAAACTCACTTGGGGAACCGCTGTTTTGACGTCGACAGAATGATCGCTGTCTAGTAGATGCTTGGTAATAGAGGACCGTGGTACACTGTCTTCTTGCTTGAAAAGCCAGTTGGGTAAGTACAACTGGCAGCCAGGGCCGCTGAGCACTTGCCCAACTGGCTTTTCAAGCAAGAAGACAGAGTACCAGGACCTCCATTACGAGGCATCTACTAGACAGCGGTCATTCCGTCGACTCCAAAACAGCGTTTCAAGTGCTAGTTCGGGTCCGAACAAATCGAACCCTGCGCTATTTGGAAGCTGCCTACATACGGCGGGAAAAACCCGAACTATGCAAACAGTTTGACCATGTGTTCAACCTCCAATTGCCCTAGTAATTGGTCACTTAATTTTAATCCCCAAGTAATTTTCGTGAACTTCCCTCACTTACGCCCCCTTCCTTTCTATATGTTGACTTAATACAGTGTCCTTTATAGATTATTATTTAAAATGAACTAAGATCCTTTCATTCTGTGAAAGTTCAAACTGTTGTATGCCCTCTTCGTTATCAGCATCATGCAGCGACAAGATGCAGCTGAGAAGCTGTCACGAAATTTATTGTTGTCAATAAATCCTGCCGTATACGCCTGTTTTAAATTTGAACTGGGGAACAGTTGCTTCAAATAAGGACTAAAAATGGTCATACAAGTAGTAACTGCCGAAAGATGCCGGTCTACAATCCGAAATTCCGATAAAGCTGCGCAAGATTTCTGGAAGCATGCAACTGAGGCCGCAACTCACCTTCTTGAGAGAAAGCGAGCATTCTTCGGTGCAGTGCAACTCGAAGTCAACCTCCAACACTGTGTTTGGCAGGGGTCGCAGGTACGCCAGCATGGAATACGGGCTCTCCGCGTTGGAGGTGAGGAATCCGTCAGAGAGGTCCAATTGTAGAATGGAGCTGGTGTAATCATCCAAGCCGGGACCAGTAAAAACGGAGGTGCCATTCTGTCGCCACAAAATGCATTCCTCATCTAAATCAGGAAAGGTGGATTCGTTAGCCGCTTGACTGTAACTGTAAATTTACTGCCAAACGGACTCTCGCGGGTTCGAGAGCTGAACTGTCCACTCGTAGAACAACTAGGCCACAAAGGAAGGTAAGGAATCCCTCGTCCCGTGTAACTGTAACTGTAAATTTACTGCCAAACGGACTCTCGCGGGTTCGAGAGCTGAACTGTCCACTCGTAGAACAACTAGGCCACAAAGGAAGGTAAGGACTCCCTCGTCCCGTTATTCTGTCGGGCTCACGGCACGGCAGCTAATGAAATAAGCAGAATGTCATTTCCGAGAAAGACAATGGCGACTGTAACGGGTATTTCTGACTTATTAGCTGTGGCAAAATTGATTTGTAGGGTCCCTCTAGATATCTTCCACCCCCACCTAACTATTTAACGTATTTTGTGATCATACATTTAATTTTTGGCTAGTGAGCGTAAATTGGTATGTAATTGTGACGGAAGTGATCAAGAAAATTAAATTACAAAAGATTATGTTAAAGCGAAAAAATCCGAGGTACAGAAATAATATTCCTTTCATCATCCTGGCATCAGGCGTCAGGCTCACGTTTGGACACACTTACTGACACCAGCAGGAGAACGGTTACCACGCTGTGACAATGAAAGCGAGAGAGCTTTTGAAACGTCAGCTTAAATACAACCTGGTCTAAGAAATCGCCCCTTCTTCTTCCTCTTCCGATTATGATGAAAGGAAGATTATGTTTGTTTTAATATGCTAAAATGGAATGCAATTCGATCAACATAAACTTCTGTTGGGCAGGATACGAATGTTAATCGAGGGAAATTCGACCTTATTTGGGCGGAATCTAACGAAAAAATTTAAAGTCAGGCTACCGAAGATTTAAAAGTAGTTTTTTTATCATAAGTCGACGGGATTTTTGGGGCCTCTAAAATCAATCCTGCCTCAGCTGTAATCAGCCGGCCATACTGCGCGGCTGCTGGCGGAGCTCGAAAGTTAATTCGAAGGCACAGGAGGGAAATGTGTTTTGTAACCGATAGGCGAGCGCCTATTTGCCATTGCGTATATTGACAATCGAAACCGGCAAGGCAACGAACCAGCGGCGCAATGGTTAGGGCGTTGGATTTCTAACTAACAAGGTTGCGAATTCGAACGTCACCCCCTCTGGGTTTGGGTATAGCTGGCTGATGACGGCCAATCAGCCAGAAACGGTCATTCCAGTCTCCCTTGTCTTTTTTTAGTAATGCTAATCTACGTAGGCCACAGTTACATGACCAACGCTTAATGATAACTAAGGCCCTGGCAGGAGTCCCTGTAAGACGGAACCTATCTGGGGACTCCTCAGCGCGTCCACTACTGGCGGGCCTAGGTGGACGCCAGTGGACGCTAGTCGCAGATTATGTAGCAGTTAGGCTTTAAGGCGTAGTAGCTGGACCTTAACTTGGTAGGTCCAGTAAAAATGAACAGGCAACGTTAAGGATTTGAGAGAAAAGATTCTTTGAGAAACAGGAACAAACTTTATTGTGAATTTTCGAAGCTGGCACGCCAGGTCGTCTTCGGACCTGAGGCAAATGTGTGAAGAGCAGTGCACATTTTTAAACGTGCCAAAAAATCGATAATTATTCGTCATCCATGTTTCTGTGGTTGGCGCCTTTTCCAGGCTTTTTGAGATTGGTATACATTGAATCCAAATCAACGTGCCTGTTGATGCATGATTCGTCAGAATTAATGGCCTGTGTCCTGTTTCCCAAGGAATCTTTTCTATCAAATTGTATTTCTTGGGATGCCTATTTTCAGATTCATACGAACGTTAAGGATTATCCAGTTCGTCCTATACACAAGGCAGGAGAACGAGAACCGTGTGTGTCGTAGTCCTTGTTGGATCAGAAGTCCCCGCCGGAATCCAAACTAAGAGAAGTTGGGAGACGGAAAAAAAGCAGAGACCTCGACCGGCTTGAGCCAAAGGTCCGTGGGAGGGAGTTGGATGCCTGGCCGAGAACTGCAGGCGAACAGATGCTGACAGTCAGGCGGAGAAGCGCCG